ATATACTAGTCAATTAGGTTTGATACCAGTGGCCTTGGAACTTTTATTAGCAAACTATTAGACATATAAGTTCGGTAGTAACCGTAAATGTTGCTTAGTCATAAGACCAACGCAGTACCAAATATATCAAATAGTAAATACAAAGTTCCATGAGTCAGGCTTGTCAGCAAACAAGCTTGGCACCTCCGAGCCCAGCAGCCATCTCAATGCAGTTTGAAAATCTAGATTGAAAATATCAGGAAGGTGGATGTTATCCAGCCTATACAAGCCTGGTGTACTTCCTTAAAAACCAGTATGTTTGTAGGAAAACCCCTAATCAAAATGCATACTTTTTTGAGTAGCCCAAGTAATTAATTTACAATCATTTTCAAGCTTTTTTAAATGAAGGAATAACAACCAGGCCAGTCCAGGAACTGTTTCGTAGTACAAGAAGAAGATAATTTAAAGCAACGGACAATGATCTTATTTCAGCTTATAGAAAAGATCTAAAGTCTTCATATGACCAACATCATTTCCACCCAAATGAACAATAAAAAGATCCGGGGCAGGAAACACTTTTCTTAAATAAGAAAGAAAAGTCATCCCTTTGCATACTAGGAATACTCCACCAAACAGCATGACAGAAATACGGAATCATTGACAAACTCTCAGAATGTATATCTGTAAAAAAATAAGTCAAGGCAACTGGACTTGCTGTATTTTTCTTGAAGATGTTTCACTGGTCATCCAACCAGCTTTCTCAATTCAGAATGATTTTTACAAAAACTTCTCTGGGAATAAATATGGTGAATGGTGTTAAAACAGCATTGTATGTGCAAGCTTGGTTTTACATAAATGGCCTCTTTCACATTGTCTGCCACATACGATGCTGTTTTAACATCTCTCTCTGGGCAGGTTAATAACACCTCCTGGACTCCAATTATGCAAATGCATTCAACACCTGGTTGTGACTAACAGATTATGTGCATTGGAGCAACATTCACCATATTTATTCCCAGATAATTTTTTGTACAAGTCATTCTGAATAAAGAAAGCTGGTTGG